GCCAACACCATGAGGTTCCCAGCTGCATGGCCGGGACTGCACGACGCAGCATGGAGCTGGCCCAGCCCGGCCAGGGAAGGAGGGGAGGGGCAGGAAGCAGCAGCAGGCTGTGGCAGTGGTGGTGGAGTGGCAACAGCAGTGGCAAGTGGGCATGTGGGAGGGAAAGTAGGGAAGCAGCAGGGGAAGGACGGCAGTGGCAGAGGGGGAAGTGGCGGGAGCATGGGACCCATGCTGGTACCAGCAGGAGCACAGGGCCTGGGTGCGGGGTCTGCCCGGCTGCATCATGTGTGGCTCCCACGCAGTCTGCCCAAGCAGTGTTCCTCTGGGAAGAGTCATGTGTGATGGAGCCGGCAACCTGGCCCTGCTCACTACTTCGTGCAGGTCCGGCTCCACCCCTCTCTCTGCCACCCTGGCTGAGCCCCATGACCTGCACCACTGGCTTTATTGCACAGGGCTTGGTGGGGCTGCCACCTGCAGCCAGGGACTAGGGTGAGAGCACAGGGAGGTGCACGCTATGGGGCCAGGCAGGGCTGGCCCCGCTCACTGCCCCCCCAGGCAGCTCCAAGGACTGGCACACTTTGGGGACTCTAAGGACCCACCCACCCCCACACACATGCACCGACACGCTCCCACCCCCACCATTCCCTCAAACACATGCTCCCACACACATTCCCACCCCACCCACCATAACCACATACCCTACCCCCATACCCATCCACACACCCCACCCACCATACCTACCCCCCACACACACTCCCCATCCCCACCCCATACACTTCCTTACGTCCCATGTACAATATATAAGAGCAGGACTGTATTTTGAGCTATTATGCAATTGCCTCTAGGCACATGATGCAAATGCATGTAAATCAGGACAAAACTTTTTTTTAAATAAAATTAAAATAAGTTATAGAAGATGTTTGATTTTTTTTTTATATGACTTTTTTTCCAGTTTCAAGATGGCAGTATGCTGCCTCCCAAAAGGAATACTGCTAGGCCAAGTGGAGGGACTTCTGGTGACAAAGGTCAGGGGTTAGAGGTGGGACTTCCAGTCCCAAGATGGTGACCAGGGGGCAGGGGGCATGTCAACAGCTCATCAAAACTCATTAAGTGGCTCTCCAGCTGGAATAATTGCCCACCTCTGTTTTACATGCTACCAGAAAGACGGCATTTCCAGATGCACGTTGCCCCAAATACCAGGCTGGGGTACCCATTCAGTAGAAGAAATTTACCCTTCCTCCTCCTTTTCCGCAATAGGCTTGACTTCATGTTATGGTCTTGCATGTTACTTACCTTTGAGATCTGCCAAGCTCACATCCAGAGTTGGTAGAGCTACCGACCACGCATCTGAATAGAGGAGTCTTGAGTAAAGTGCCTCTGAAGGGCAAAGAGATGGCATCTCATCATAGTACAATACAAACAAGGGAGAATAAAATAAATTAGGGATTCTCTATATGTGCTGCAAAACCATAGCCACTGATTTAAAAATAATAATTTTTAACTTGATTTAGAAATAATAATTCCTAATGCTTCCTTAGCAGTATCTGGGCTCTTGGGCACTGAACTTCTAAGATTTAGGTTAGGGGCTTTGAGTTGTAATGACTTTCATGTTAGCATGAACTTGACATACGGAGTCGCAGTCAGGAAATAATTAAAATACAAACCCTCCATTAATCAGTTTAAATTTAGCAGCTGTTTATAATCCCATGAAAACACAAAAACAAAACTTTTCCCTGCTGACTTCTTTGTCCTTTTCTGCTTCATAAACACTGTTTTCCTGTGGTTTTCTTGCTGCAGGAACCAATCTGACTCTCTGCCAGTACTCCAGCAGTATCTGTGTCAACAGGAGTAGGTGCTGTTTTGAGTAGAATTTTAGCTAATGGTTGCCTAGGAGAAGGCAGATCACCTGTAGCTGGGCCTTTTTCATAGATTTTTTTCTCATTTTGCTTTTGTCTCACTAAAATCCTGTTTTTTGAATATGTCTTTTGGCAAATGAATTGATTTTTATTTCATTTGTTTTGTTTCTCTTCCTTTTGCCATATTAAACTACTAAACAGGATACATTTATTCACAAATTCTAACTGGTGTAAGTGCTGGCAGTGGGTACAGGATTTAACAATCTGTCAGTGTTACAGAATGCAGTCTTGAGTTTTATTTTAGCTACCAGGCTTTGGGGAGCTGACATGGTATTGTCCCTTACACACAAAAAGACTCTGATGGTGGAATTACTACTCTCCAAATTGTTCTAAAGAAAACCTGGTTTTGGGGTTAAGCATTAAACAGGGACCTAGTCAATTTGGATTCAGTTCTCTGGTTTAGTTCTCAAACTTCTGTGTGAACTTCATCAAGTCACTTATCTGTCTCAAGTCTCCATCTGTAAATTGAGGATAAAAATCCTTCCTTTCTCCACACCATTTGTTTTTATTTAGATTGTAAACTCTTTCAAACAGGAACTGCTTCTGCATGCCTCTAAAATTCAGTTAGGATGAAGCCTGGACTGTAGCACTACAGCAGCAGACATATTTTAGTTGCTGTAAAAGGAGAGGAGGAGGGGGAATGGCTGCTCTGGAGCACACAGCAGCTGTTAACAATCCAACTCTCACGTATGTATGATCCTGTACCTATACTGATGCCAGTTAGCTAAATTACCCGAATGTTGGTCATGAATGAAGCAAGGGTAAAGTTAGCATGGTTTTGCTATACTTATATTGCTAAAGCTTCAGGCAACTGGCATTGTGGTATTGAAACAATTGTTATGTCTGTCTATATCCTAAGTCTTGTAGTTCTTGAAGATGGACAAACCTAGATCTTAAATGAGTCGGGTTCTGTGGGGTGGTGGCAGCAGGTTTTCTCCTCCAGAAGAGCATCAGTCCAAAGGATTTCAAAGAGGGGGCATGGTACTAGCTTCTACAATAAGACTGGTATTTTACTGGTATTGGAATGCTTTTTTTTTTCTCCCAAAGGAGGAGAGAGAAGAGCATTGTAAACTCACATGTGAGCCAGTTAGCTTGTCAGTTTTTTGGCAGAGTTGTTTACAAGTGCATATAAATATAAATATATGCTGTAAGAATCAAATATATTTCTACCTACCTCATCATGAGTATGCACTAGAGGGCTGCATGCACCATCTTATTTTTGCATTGCCTAAGTTCTTTGTCCTTGACTTTGCAACCTGAATATGCTTTTAACATAGTATTTTTGTAGGTGATTTCCTAGTTAAACGGCAAACAAACCTGAACAAACAGATTTCATCCTCTAATAGCAGACTAACACTCCATGTGGGCAAGGTTGCAATCTCTAGATTCAGAGCACAGACCTCTGCTACTTGATGTAATAAAGTAATTGATAGCTGAAGTAGGTTGCCATCTAGCTCAGTCATTAATTGGAGATAAGACCCTAGCCAGTGGGTTTCATAGACACTGACTGATTAGTAGAAGAGCTCTGAGATTGAACAATCCTGTTTCCTCGCCAGTTTTGGAAGGTGGTGTTGCATGCACTATAATACCTTTGCCAGTGTCTCCTCCCTCCTGATCCCCCATATTAGTGGATGTAGGTGTGCAAACGTGATTCACAAGAGAAACCCGGAAATTTCAAATGGGAATCTATAGTGTTAAAAGCATTCCAACCTGTTCTGGGCTTTCAGTTCTTTGCATACAGAAAAATTGCTCTATTTTTCTGTAGTCAAAAAATGAGTGAAAGCTTAGAACTGGCATTTTTCAACGGTCACCTTGGGTCTAAAAACATTGAGAACTACTCGTGTAGACCCTTTGCCCTGGTTCATT